GGATATGTTTCGTAACATTCTAGAAGTACCCTTTGATGTTCCTCTGGTGCGTGATATCGATATGGAGGATGCTGTGGTTGAGTATGCGTATCGGACTAACAGTGATTCTTCCAATTCACAAGGACAGAATCCAGGCTTCGTTCGACGCGACCGATTTCCCGAAGGTGCTGAACCTCAAGTACCACCTCAATCGTTTGAACCGGGCAATCCGGCACCGCCTCCAACATTAGCGGCAAGACCCAGTGCGCCGTCTGGGTCGAGCGACAGTGGAACTCGGCCTCGCGCAGCACCAGAGGAACAAGACGCACGAAAACGATAGCGAACTCGCCGACGAGCGAATCGTGAGCAAGGTGAGACAGAGCGTGCTGGACGATCGAGACTTACAAGGAAGACGCCAGCATCCCAGACTGCGCACGGAGGGCGAGCGCGCATTGGTCGCAACATCACGGTCACCGAGAACAGCGAGAGATTGCATAACGCCTATGCCACTAACGCGGTCATGCACGAAGGTTTCGCGGCTGAACGAGCTGACCGAGTATCGAAGGGCAAGCTGGACAGGAAGGACGTACTCAATCGTGGTGACGGATATGCCCGAGAGCGTGCCGAGAAGTGTCTCAACGCATTTATCAGAGGGTGAAGTACTTGGACCAAGAACGACGCCGTAACAGTGATTTCGCCAACAATGGCCAAGAAGATCGATGGGTCGCTACAGATCGAGAGCCGAGCTGCTTGGACGAACAAAGGCCGAGATCACGACGCTAACTTCTAGCCCGCATGTCGAATTGTGGGGAAGGGTACCAGGGGAAGTGCGATGGGGAGCTACGAAGAGATCCAGCGACGCGCTCATACTTTAGGCCGAACTTTTGCGGCAGCACTGCTGCGTGCAAGCGATTTGCACGTTATACTGGCGATGCCATTGGAGCTTTTCTGCAGGGGGTCAAGACTGAGAGGGGGCTTTATCTTAATATGCCCCGGAACTTGCAGGGCATGGGCATATCTGGAATCGAAGAGGGAAGCCAACTCAAGCTCAACGAGAGCATCTATGGCACCAGCGACGCGGAAAAGGGCCTGGCCAAAGAGGATTGACCAGATTCTGCGAGACGCCGGCTTCGAGCAGCTGCAGTTTTGGACTGCCGCCTTCAAGTTGATGGATCAAGGGGAGTTGTATGGGCGATGATGCCTACGCGTCGATGACATGCTCATGGCTTTCGACATGGAGAACAGCAAGGAGTTATTCGATCAAGTGGTTCAGCAGTTGAAGAGCCAGGTGGAGTTTGGAGACTGGCCTGGTCTACAAAACGCACCAGGAGGAGCTACGTTTACTCGGCGACGCTTTTAGCAGTACAAGGACTATGCTATCACTTGCGACAGTGATAACAACATCGATGCGACGACGGACCACCGGATGCCACGTGAAGGGGCTAAGTAGGAGAGGAGCTACTCACCGGTGCTGAACATCGAGCGCTTCGTGGCATGAATGGGCAAGTTCAGTGGGCGGTGCGACTGCTGCTTCATAAATGCGGTTTCGAGGCGTCGCGGCTTGCTGGCCACATGTCGAAGCCGACGGTGCATGGATAGTTTTGCGAGGCTTATCCGCCGTGAGGGGAAGACTCAGATGGTTTCCCGCGGCGGGTTTGATTTGAGAAGTCTGTTATAGTAGCTTCACGCGACGCATCCTTCGACAACGTGCCAAACCACAAGGGCCAACGTGGTTTTTAGACCATGGTGGGAGATGGCAATATGATGGATGGCCACGCGAAGCTGCATCCGCGCATGCTCTCGGCATGGCCGAGCGGGCGCATTGGACGCGCAGTGCGGACTGCTGAAGCTCAAGATGTTTGCTTTTGGACACGTGGAGTGTGCGCAGATATCGTCCCAGCTCGTAGGCTCGGGCGTTGGCATCGTCTAGCAGCTGAGGGGTGGGGGGGGAGTTTTGTTTGCAGATTGCCGTTCGTTGTGGGCTTGTGTTGCGACGGGGCGCGTTCACTTTTCAGTTCGTAGACCCTCTCTGGAGGCGGCCGTCATCGGGCAGGAATGCCAGCGTGGAGGCATCAAATGGGCCCGATCCGAACAGCAACTTGCCGGCGGATTTACCAAGAAGATGGGGGGCCGGACCCCCGAGCGCCCCCACTCAGGAAACGGGAGCTGACAGATTCCCGGGAGGAAAGGCAGCGAGCGCAGCGAGTTGAACCACAAGAGGGCGCCGACGAGATGAAAGCGTGCTACGCCAAAGCGAAGGACTACAGCGCTGACGACGAGATTGCAAGGATTGATGTACATGAGTTTGCGTACCATTCCGCATCGAGCAGTGCAGCGGGGGCATCTGCGACGCGCCCATCGCGTGCAGTTCTTTTTCAGCGGGAGTTTTAGCGGGCAGTTTTTGCCGGGATCTTCCGCGCCAGCTTCTGTGACAGCAACTGCGGTGACAACCGCGTCGGAACAAGCAGTTTGCCAGGTTCCAACCTTCATGGCTCGACCCTTCGACGATTGGTCGAGGTTTGTGCTTTCGCCAGCCGGGGCGTTTATGACAGGGTCTTCTGTTCGGAATTATGTTGATCATGCTTTGCCGACTGCGATTGTTCCATCCCCGTTTACACCGCACGTTGCAGCGTAGACGATCGACATACCGTCCGATGATAGAGGGCGACCGATCGGATGCACGTCGGAGGTTCGATAGTTTGCGATGATGTGATTTGCAGGCTATGCGTCGCGAGATGCGTTTATGCGCTTCCGGAAGCAAGGCAGACTTGGTTACGAGGATTTTACTTATTGCGAGGCGAAGCCTAGTGATTTTCGCTCCTAAGTTGATGTGTTTTTGGATTTCTTTGTGAGCGGATTCGTTCGGCCGGTTCCAACTGGTCTGTGATGGAGACGGCCTGTTTTCTTGTTTGTAATGTGTTGTGCCAGTTTCTAAGATGGAAAAGTTTTACTCTGCGTGAAGATGGGCGTGTTTTGCCCGTATATGCGCAGCTAGAAACGCAGTAGATAAGCAGTTGGAGAGAAGAGACAGCACGGTAGATGCTGTGGCCATTTCTTTCAATGATTCCAAGGGGTCCCTTTTTGAGCTTTCAGCGGTAACGCGTTATCAGATGTTTGTCTTTGCGGCGATTGGTTTCGCCAGCTGATTGTGCGAGGTCATGGGCCTCAATCGTGTCGCTCGAGTCCGCGGAGCTTACGTGCGAAAGGAAAACAAGACTGGTCAATCTCCATATCATTGACAGTTGGGGCCTTCTGGGGGTTTCTCGGGCCACAACTATCGCATGTTTGGTTCGTGGTCCCTTCTTGCGCTTCTCTTGGGGCCGTCTTGGGGCCCTCTTGGGCCGTCTTGGGCGCTTCTTGGGCCATATTGGAGCCCTCTTGTGCCGTCTTGGGGTCCTCTTGGGGACGTCTCAGGCTGTTTTGGGTGGTCTTAGGAGATTCTTGAGCTGTCTTAGAGCGTTGGAACGGAAAAAAAAACGAGAAGGCTGAAGTTCTTCAAACACCTCCGTAAAATCTACGATTTGGGGCTCTTGGGGCTGTCTCGGGAGGCCTCTTGGAACGCTTTTGGGGCCTCTTTGGGCCCTCTCGGGTCGTTTTGGAACCATATTCGGTCGCCTTGGAGCACTCTTGGCCTTGGCAATGCGAAGACGGTGTAACCTGCGAAGGTTTATGGCTTCGGGGACGCGACTCTTGCGTATCATTCGATGGTCTGTTGCTTCGGGGTCGCAGCATTTGCATCGTTTATGAGGGTTTGTGGCCTCGGGGACGCGAACATTGTGCAACGTATGAGGGATTGTGGCCTCGGGGGCGCGAATCTCATGTAATTTTACGTGTCCCACGCCCCCTCATGAATTCAGATCACGCGATCCGGGCGTGGTAATTTGCTGGTTTGGGGCTCCCCCCGTTCGCGCGGACTTCAACAACATTACAATAAGGAGCAAACAGCTGGACTGTAGCTTTGGAGGCTTGAAAGTGCGAGTGGCAGGGAGTAACACACTTCGGCCTACAGCCTGGTGGTTCCGCAAGGTGGTCAGCGAATTTTGTTTTCAGAGCGTCGAGTAGCGTCGATAAGCGTCCGCGCCGACTTAGCATCGGTTAGCGTCGTTAGCGTCGATTAGCGTCGACTAGCGTCTAATAGCGTCGGTTCGCATGCGCCGACAATATGGTTTGGGAGGTTCCCGTGAGTTGCCACCGACAGGAAACGCCGTTGTCTCGGCTGGCCTATTCCGACAAGGTTCCCTCTCCGAGGGCCTCCTCTCCTCATCGGGCTTTGGCGCATGTTGTTTTCGACCTGGGATATTTCCCCTCGGGGGCCTCCTTTCCTCTGGCCAAATCCCGGCCCTGATTCTGGCGAGTCTGGCCTGACACGATTTCATCCTGGGTTTATAATCCAGCCTGATCGGGCTTCCTGGTCCCGGGATTGGCTTCATAGTCCCTGCTCGTTTTTACAGAGACCTCCCAGGAGCTGCTTCCTACAAAGACCTTGAACATGCTCGAACCTCCAAGATCCTCGAAACTCCGAACCTCGAACCTCTAAGAACTTCAAACCTCGAACCTCAGAGAACCTCGAACCTCCAACCTCCAAGAACCTCGAAACCTCGAACCCCGAACCTCCAAGAAGCTAAACTCAAACGTCGAGCCCTGAACCTCGGACTCCGATGCCCAGGCCTCGAACCTCGAAGCTCCGAGAACCGCCCAGAACCTCGAACCCCGAAGCTCCAAGAACCCCGAACCCCGACGCCCCGAGAACCTCGAGCCTCCAAGAGCCCGGACCCTCACCCGAAGGGCCTCGCCACGGAGGGCCCCCCCCCTCCCCCCGGAGCCCCCCCCCCCTTGGCATCGCTCGGACGTGTGCAGTTTTCCTTCGGCGAGGACCATCGAGGAGCATCCTTGATCATTTGGCGGAAAAGCACGCACGAAACCGAAAAAAACATAGGGAATGGACGTCCGAGCGATGGCGAGCCCCGACCCCCGGAGGGCCTCCCCCCCCCCGCCCGAAGGGGGCCGCCCTCCCCCGCGAGGCTCGACGCCGAGGGCGCCGCCGCGCCTCCCGCAGCGGCCGAGCGGCCCGACTTCACAGGCGCCCAGCCCGCCGCGCGGCTCGCGAGCGGCCCGCGCGCCCAACGCGCGCCTGCGAGCGCCGGCCTCCGGCACGCCGGCCGGTGCTGGGCCGCCTCCCGGGCACTCTAAAACGACGCGAAGATCGGGACAAAATCGGACCGGGATAACTCGAAGTCTCTGAGAATCGGCGGGTTTGGATGATGTATTGGGTGCCGCGGCCGCTCCAGAGCGTTCCGGAACGCTCTGAGAGCGCGACGATACGGGCGAATGGCCCAGGGGAGAGCAATGCATGTATGCAGGGGCGCCGATGATCTGTGTCTTCGAGAAGTCTTCGGGCGAATGCGTGTGTTGCCCGCCCCTGGGCTATTCGCCCTTTATCGTCGCCGCCGAGCATTCTTCTCGGCGAGGACCATCGAGGAGCATCCTGGATCATCCTGCAGCAAGAACGCGCACGAAACCGACGAAACGCACGGGGAATGGACGTCCGAGCGAGGGCAAGCTTCTGCTCGGGAGCCTCGAGGCGGGGGTCAGCGCAAACGGGGTTCAGCCAGAGCGCCCGGTCGTGCAGGATCCTGCAGAGCCAGGGCTGCAGGGATCTGGGCCTCCCGGATGGGGTCGGAGCAGATGGGGTCGAAGGATCGGTTCGCATCGCCGATGCAAATCGGCGATGCGGCTCGATGCGGAGCCCGAGCTTCTCCACGCCGATGGCGCCGATGCATTGGCGATGCAGTGCAATCCTCCAACCCCATCTGCTTGGACCCCATCTGGGAGGTCTCTACTTGACCCGGGCTGGCGCGCATGATTTTGTATCGGAGGACGCGTAATGGGGGGGCGATGAATGGGGGAGCAGCGGGCGCTGCAGAAAAGGGGCACTTTCGGGCCCAGAAGGGGGGCCTCGAGGGCTCGAAAGGTGCACCTTGCTTCCCCCCCATCGCCCCCTCATGAATTCGCGCCACGCAGGACCCCGGCAAGGCCTGACCGACCCCGTTTCTTTTCGCACTGGCCGGGGTCGGTCCGAGGAGATCCCCGGGGCTGCCCGCGCCCGTGCCCCCTCGCCGCCTGTCCTCTCCCGCCCCCCCCCCCCCGACCAGCCCTGCGAGGCGGCAGGCTCGCGCTCCCCACTGGAGGGGACCGGACGGGCCGCGGATCGGGATGAGCCCTGAGATCCTGGCGCTGCAGTCCTCTCACAACGGGCGTGTCCGCCCGGGCGCGGGCCCCGGGGCCCTCGCAGATCGATCGGGCGTCGAACAGCGACGCAGGGAGATGGGGCCCGGTGCTCCCGTCGTGGCTTGCTGCGATGCTGCAGTTGTGTTGGCAACGTCGGAAGTCCGGGCCTGGGCGTGGCCAGAGCGCTCTCAGGGCGTTCCGGAGCGCTCTGAAACGGCCGTGGCGCCCGGTACATCCTCCACACCGGCGTATTCTCAGAGACTGTTGATTCATATCATGTTGGTCCGATGTTCTCTCGATTCTCTCTTCGTCGTGCGGGGAGGGGGAGGATCAGGAGGAGAAGGTAAGGCCTCGCAGCAAACTCTGGATGCCCTGCTCTGAGGGGATCCAGGGCTCAGGTCGTGATTCTTTCCGGTGTTGGATTTTCGGGGGGCAGCGTCGGACCTCAGGGGGGGAAGGGGGAGGGGGGGAGGCTTCTCAGAAGCACCCCTGCTTCTTATAAGGCGCGGTCCTTTGTCTGTAGATGTAGGGCCGGTGCCTTCTATGAAGCGACCTCCTAAGAGGTTTCCCCCTCGCCATCACCCCTTTGCACGCCGCCAAGGTACGGCAGGATCGCGTCGTGTCGACCGGCGGCGACCCCGCCGCCTGCTTCAACGTTGAACGCCGCCGGCGATCCAGAATCGGTCGAAGTTGAAGGATCAGACGTTGCGGAAACGGCCGATCGTTCAAGGTTGAACGATCTCCGTGGTGTCAGACACCAGCGCCGGGGTCGACACGACACGGACCCCGCCATACCCCATAGTATACATGCTCTGTGGCGGGCGCTTTATGGCCATACCTCTTGGGAGGCGATAGAGACTACAAGATTTTTGTTCTGTATGTTCGGTTTGGATGGGCGTCTCCAATCGGAACACCTAGTACTGGTATGTGCTTCTGTGTCCCATGCCCGCGCGCCTGCCAGCGCTGGCCTCGGCACGGGCCCAGGGCATCGTTAGTCTAGGCCCCCAGATGGGGTCCGAGTATCAGACACAGACATGCTCGCGTCGTGAACACAACCAGGACGTGAGGTTCTTCATCGTTTTTGGCTCTGAGGGCCCTTACCTGCTCCGGGACCGTCATCATACGGCCCAGGATGATGAACTGGTCCCGATGGAAGGGTCGGGACTTCCGGGGACCCCGTCTTGACAGAAATCAGGAAATCGTGTGTCTGGGTCAAGTTCGGCTGCGTCGCAGTCGGCTGCGTTCGGGCGGTCGGGTTCGGTCGGTTGCTGTGCCGTTGCCAGGGGGCAGGTGGAGGTGGGATGGAGCTTGCTCGGCGCGTCCTCGCTCGTTCGGCCCATCCTCGCCCCTTCGGTCCCCAAGGGTCTTACATCCTTCGCCTCGGGCGTGGGGCGGACGGTGTGGAGTGGGCGGGAGGGGGGCGGGCAGGTGGGAAGGAGCCTGCTCGGCGCGTCCTCGCCCGTGCGGCCCATCCTCGCCTCTTCGGCCCCGAGGGTCCTGCCGTCGGCGATGCGGATCGATGTGGAGCCCGGTTTTCCCCACGCCTGCGTCGCCGATGCATCGCCGGTGCTTCGTTGGTGCATCGACGATGCGGCGCGATCCTCCAACTCCATCTACTCGGACCCCATCTGGGATGCCTCCAGTCATGGCAGGGTCCATTTCGCTGTGGTCGATCCGATTCGACATCGACCTCGGCCGGGCGCGGCGGCGGAAGCCGAGCCCTGCCCTCGCCGACCGGCGATTCGGGCGACTCGATGGGCGGCGGGGACAGGGTTCGGAGTTCGTCAAAGACGTGTCGGCATCCGAACCCTACCCCGCCTCCCATCGATGCAGGGGAACAGGTGGTCGGCGGGGGCAGGGTGCGGATGTCGCCACCCAGATGCCGATTTCGACCAGTTCGATCCGATTCGACTCCCGTGTTCCGATGATCAGATGCGGCCCGATGCTCGCATGGCGCTGCTGGGCACCCTGGTGCAGCCGAGCAGTTTTGACTTCGATTCCGTGTAGATGCAGCTCGGTCCGATGCACATTTCGATTCGATAGATTTACCGATTCGATGCTGACTGATTCTGCGTTAGGGGGGGTAGGATCAGGGGGTTCGGGTTCGAGGTCTGGGGGTCGTTCGAGGTTTCGGGTTGGATGTCTCGGGTTCGAGGTCTCGGGTTTGAGGTTCGAGGTTTTCGGGCGTTTTCGCTGATCGTCGGCGGTTCTCCAGCCTCGCGGGATGCGTCCCAGTGGCTGCGCCCTGCCGTGAGCATTCCCAGAGTGCCCAGAGCGTCCCGACCAGCTGCCTGAGCGCTGAGTTATGCCCCGAAGGCCAAGGGGAGCGTTAGGGGGGAATAGGCTCGTGGGCGGGATGCGTCGACCCCTACTTAATCGACCATTAGCGATTGGTTTTCCAGAGTTACTGCCAGGGGGGGGGTACGAGCCCCTCGTCGCCACGGCTGGATTCGCCTCGAAATTCTAGTCAGAACGCACCCCAGGAGAGGTCGGGGAGAAACGGTACAGGTCTCGGTCGGTTTTCCCTTAACAGGCTCTCGAGGTTCGAGGCTTGAGGTTTTGAGACGTTATCGTCCCTCCTCGGCAGGTTCCCCGTCTCGGTATGCCTTTCAGCGGCTGCGCATCGCCGAGGGCGTCCCTCGTTCCTGGGGTGCCGAGATCGTCCAGAACGGCCGCCCGAGAGCCGAGTTGTGGCCCGAAATCCAGGGGGCAGCGTTAGGAGGGGACTAGGCTCAGCGGGGGGGGGTATCGACCCCCAGTCGCTCATTCAGCAGCGAGAGTTACCCGATAGCCCTTCCAGCCCATGACCACGCGGACTTGTTATCGGGGGCCTATCGCCGATCTGGCGACGCTGTATCGCAATTTCCAGGCCGATGCTTCCCGCCCGAGCCTAAACGGCACAAAGAAGGTTCGGAGCTCCGTGCGGATTGCTCGGATTGGCGCTGGGCCCCCTTTGGCGGCGCCTCGGACGCCGCTCCTGGCGCGCTCCGGGAAATCCGCGCGGGCCCCCACGGCTTCCGAAGCGCTCCTGACGAGGCCCAGAGCCCCCCAGATGCTCCAAATTGACGCGAACAGCTAAGGGCACATTGGGGCTACGGCCACCTCTGGCCACCCCGAAGCGGGGTCCCATCGTGGCAAAGGCGGGGGTGCAGCTTGAGCTTGGCCCGGGCCAGTGTTGGCCCCCGAGCGTGGTCCCCTCCCCCAGGGTGGTGGCTGGTGCTTGACATCCCCAGGCAGCGTTGTTTCCAGAGTGTTCGCGTGTCCTCCGAGTCAGTTATCCTCGACTTCCTGCTCCTGATCGGCCTGCGCCCTCGTCGTCGTCGTCGTCGTCGTCGTCGTCGTCGTAGTCGTCGTCGTCGTCGTCGTGGTAATTGCCCCCCTCTGGCACTACGTTCCCCTGGTGAGTCACCTCCGCCGCCCGCCGCACGCCACCTGCTCCCCTCGGGAAACGGTCGAGGGCCATCTATAGCCCGATGAGACCTGCCGGCGGCACCTGAAACAAGGCCAGGACCGGGATAAATCGCTCCAGAGCGTTCCGGAGCGCTCTCAGAGCGTTCCGGAACGCTCTGGAGCGGCCGCGGCGCCCAATACATCCTCCAAACCCGCCGATTCTCAGAGATTTCGAGTTATCCCGATCCGATTTTGTCCCGATCTTCGCGTCGTTTTAGCACCTCCCCCCCCCTGCCTCTCGGGTCGGACGGGTGTCGGTGGCGCGCCCGTGGGGGGAAGCGCGAGGGAGAGGGCCTTCTCAGAGGGCGGCGGGGCTCCCAGAAGCCCTTCGGCTTCCGGAGAAGTGGTCTGCGGCTTCGGGGATCGGAGGTGGACAGACCTCCTACCCTGACACGTCGATCAAGGAATTGGCCAATTTCGGTTCGCGAGAGGGCGTCGCGGCCGTCATTTTTGCGGCTCCAGGTCCGTCGGCTTCGGTCCCAGGCCGTTTCCACTAAGGGGAGGTTTACTAAAGGGAGGTCTGTCCACCGCCGAGGGGCGGGCTCAGAACATTTCTCAGGAGGCCGGAGGCCTTGGGAGCCTTCTGAGAAGGCCCGCCCCTTCTCACTTCCCTCCCGGGGCTCGCCGCCGAGAAAGGGGAGGCATGGGGGAGACGAGGGTGAAGAGCTGGTCGGGGAGGGAAGGCACTGGGGTCCAGGATGCACTTCCCTCGGGACGCAGAGGGGGGGAGAAGGAGAACAAGAAGGAGGAAGGGGAGGGGGGAGGGGTGGGAGGGAGGATGGTGTCACGCTTCTTCACTCGGGTCGGACGAAGGGAGGGGGAAATGGAAAGGGGGGGTTGTGAACCCTGCTGCGTGCAGCCAGTTTCGGGTCCGCCGCAGGGCGAATTCATCGATACAATGGCGCCTCCCTGCGCGGGGAGGCGCCCGGGAAGATTGGCAACGCACGTGCTGATTCGCCACCCCTCCCTCCTGCGATTCCTCCCTCTCTTCTGACCGGCTTAATCTGAAGAGGGGCGTGCGTTCGCGTGTATCCGCGCGCCTCAGCGCATGCGCGTGCGAAGAAGAGAAGGTACCTATACCAGTACCCTTGCCCCGTCACCACGGCTGGGTCCGCATGGAAATTCTGGTCAGAACGCACACCTGGAGAGGTCTGGGGAGTATTGATATCGGCACCTTTTCCCCAATGCGCGCGTCTGTTTACGTATGTATGTATGTATGCGTGCGTGCGTGCATGTGTGTGTCCGCATGCGTACAAGCGCAAACAAGAATGAGGCAGTGGATCAGCAAGGCGGGGTGGATGTGGGGGCGCGTGGGCAATCGGAGTGGACAAGGAGACGTGAGGAGGAGGAGGTAGACGACGACGACGAAGGGCTCAAGTGCATGAAGGTTGAAGTCGGGGAACTACTCAGCTGAGGATCAAGATACATATGAGCCTGTGTTGCCTTACACATGCACGCGCAGTCACTCGCTCGAGCATACGAGCGCACATCATATGTAGTTATGTGGGCTCGGCGCGCTGTGACACCACACACGTCACTCACTGCTCGATTAACGGTACTGACCCTGATCAAGCGTAGGACAGCCCAAAAGTTTTGGAAGGAGAAAGTGGAGCAGCAGGAGACAGGGCAGACAGGGGCTGGCAGTCGGCGAACGTAAGCATGAGGCGACCAGCGCGGGACTGGGACGAGGGTAGCAGAGCAGGACACTGTGCCGCCCCGAGCGTGAAGGGAATCATATGCCCGACCGCGTGTAGTTATGCCCACGCGTTAGACCGCCCCATGGCCATGAGGGCATGGCCAAAGGACGAACAGACAGTGGATGATGACCCCTGGGGGAAGTTCCGTGGCGGGTTGGCGGCCAAGACGCTGTCCACCACAGCATCGACGATACAGGTGACCTTGCCTGACTCGTTCGTGAGCGCCACACTGGGAGACTCCTTGCTCCTGGGCTCCTCGCTGGACGGTAGGACGTACCCAAGGACAGGCGGCCTTCTTACCCTCGTCTTTTCAATGCTTTCAGCGCAGCCGACTGAATGTCGATCTCGTCATAGAACAGATAACACTCGGCTGACGATACGCTGCGGAAGAGGAGAGACACACACAACACAAAACAGCAACACATGCTATACATATATGAACTATACAAACATGATAGAGAACAAGAGAGAGAGAGACAACAACCATACCGCAACTAGAACAAGGACGGAGGGAGTGATGGAGGGAGAGGGAGTGGGAGAGTCTGCCTTCCTCTCTCCCCTCTCCGCACCTTTCGCACTGTCCTGCTCTCGCTGCTCCGCCCCGCGCTTCTGCCCCCCCCATTCCCCCTTCCCTCTCCTCCTCCCATCCCCCATTCATTCAATTGTAAACCAGGTGCTCTCCCTCCTCTCCCTCCTCCCCGCCCCTCCCCCCACGCCCTCCCCCTCCTTCCTCTCTCCCCCCTCTATCCGCGTCCCCCCCGCTCTTGCTCCCACCCTCCCACCTTCCGTCTCCCCTCTCCTCTCCTCGCCTGCCCTTCCCTCCTCCGTCTCCCCTCCTCCTCCCCTCCCCCCGACGCGTTCCCCCCCCCAGGGCAGGTCTCCTCCGCGCCTCTCCCTCCCCCACCCCGCCCCCCCAGAAGCGAGGTCCCGATCGGGCTGCCGGCGTCTGAGCTGGGCCCTTCTGTTCCCTGCCCTTCCCTCCTCGGCTCGGCTCGGCTCGGCTCGCCGATGCTGGTCGGCTGGCTCGCCGATGCTGGTCGGCTCGGCTTCTCTTCCGAGGGCCACACGTGCGGGCTACGCTGGGCCACGCGCCCAAAGGCGCCGCGCCCTCCCGGGCGGCACGCAGCCGCTCGCTCGCTCGCCCCC